TCATTCTTGCCTATGACACTGTGAATCCTATAGATTAAATCATTAAAAAATGTTTTTAATAATTGATACTTTCCTTTCAGGCTGTGGCCAAAGGGAATGTTTACAGATTTGCTAGTGCTGGTGGTTCTCTTACTGCATCTGTGCATTATGTTCTTCAAGATCAGAAGCTGCCAGTGAGGCTTAATTGGTCATCACCAAACTCTTCTGCCTCCAGTCCTCACTGCTGCCCCCAAATCTCCTCAAACCTGGTTATGTTTGACACAGTCTGTGTACATTCCAGACATATTTCCAACAGCCGTGTTTGTCATAAACGTGTTCCCAGAAAAGTGAGTTCTGTCCCAAGACTCTCCACACAAAACCACACACTTGACCTCCGGGGCTAAACTGTGAAGACTCACTCGGGATTCATTCACTTCCTTTAGCAGCCACTGACTGTAGTAAAACCAGTAACAGACTGTTCAAATTCAAACTTTTAGCTTTCAGCTTCTGAAAATCCAAACTACATAACTACATAATTAAGGAGATATCATTTGACTGTTCAACTGAATCACATTGCTGCTGCTATTCCTCTACAAGAGAGCCACCATAGCGGATAAACACACATTCATCATGGTGTTGTGCCAACGTTTGCAGACTGACAACAAAAAGCCAGCCGCAGTGTTTTTAATGCACCCAACAAAGCCCTGTTGATCTCAAACCCTTTTTGACCCCTTGGTCTGGTCTCTGGGAGCATTGCACTTGCGCCGTAAACAGATGGCAGAACACTTTTAGCTGAAATCTGCACAGACTCATTAAAGCCAGGTCTAAACTCAGCTAACGGCACTAAAGCACAATCTAAACTGAGAATGTTTTCTGTAGCTCTGAAAGTCACCCTGCTCTGTTTTAATGGGCCACAACCATGCTGTGCACCAATATGTTGAACACGTAGGGTCTATATTTGGCTTCCCCTTTTTTTAATCTTGGCAAATGCACAGTTTGAAGCAAGAACATATTAACAGGATGCTTGAGTGACACTGATGGACCAGTGGTGATAAACGATAGCCTGCAGCTAGTCAACTAGAGAGAAAGAGACCATCGCTGACCTTGGCTGAACCCCAGTTCAGTTTGAACTATGCTATGTCAAAACCTGACTAGATACGTAACAATGCATGAATCTGTGCAACATTACCAATAATGATGTTATGGTTGATTTACCATCACAATATATATGCATATTATATTCATATCTATCTATCTATCTATCCATCCATCCATCCATCCGTCTCTCTCTCTCTCTCTCTCTCTCTCTCTCTATCGATCCAGTGATACAATGCAGAGATGGTGCAAGTCATGTTTTTCATTTATTTACTAGGCACATAAACTAATCAGTCAAATGAAATTATATTATCGTAATGGCGACACAATATATTTATATATTTATTTATTGAGTGTTTTGTTTTGCCTTGTGACTTTTTCTTGAAATTTCCCCGAAAAAAAACATTTTTTTCAGTGTGGTATTAAGTAAATAAATAAATGTGAAAAACCTTAATGGTCTTACAATTTGATTTAACTTTCTTAATGCAAAAATAAAATTTCTTTTGATTTTGGAGAGAAATAAGATCTGGACGTGTTTTCATAAAATTCACCCGTATTGAGTTCGAATTAACTCACCTCCGCCAACCGCGAGTCCTGCTCGGAGCTCACAGTGTCATTTCCGTGCTGCAGCGGGCTGCTCCGCAACACCGTGATGTGTAACGTCAGAAGAAGGAGTCCCAACAGCAACAGCAGCTCCGCCGCCAGCCGCACCATCCTTTTCACTCTCGCGCTCTTAGGACCCTGCGCCACCGCCGCCGCTGCCAGGCTTCCGCTGCCGCCTCCTGCCGCTGCAGACACTCCGATCTCCGGATCCGCCGCGGACGAGGAGCCGCAACACCACTGCGGAGCCACCTCGGGGTCCAGAAGAGCAATACTCACGGGAAAAAGAGTAACTGGCTAGAAATGATCTCAAAGAAGCCCAATCACTCCACGTTTGAAAACTGACCAGATCAATGAAGGATCTATAGCTCCTCTTCTTAAAAGTGGTATAATCCTGATGTCCAAAAAGAACTTGAATTACCTTTAAAAAACAGAAAAGCAAGTTCCACAATCTCCAAAGCTGTGTACCATTCCATTGAGGTATTTACTTTTCTTTTAACATTAGTATAAAATGCAAAAGCAAGTAGATTATATGTTGATATATAAAGTTTTACTTTTTCATTGAGGAAAAACTTTTACTTGTGCGCAGGTAAATCAGGTACACTGGCACAAGTACACAATGAGACCCTGCAGCATTCTTCTTATGTTTGAAAACACAAAACACAAAGTCTCCCCAGTTCAATCCACTTCAAATTCTCGTGGTCTGTCCTTCACGTCTAATAGGCATATAAAACGTCTGGTTTGGGTACATTGTTGCGCTCCTATGCGTTGCGCAAAGTGCTGCCATCCTCTCCAAATGCCACTGTGTCTTCAGGGATGAAGTGTAGTTCACTCTAAGCCCATCTTCAGTGTGATCAAGATCCAAAGTTCCTCCTCTGACTAACTCATCTGAGCTCTGTCCTCAGGAGGGTGTATGAGCTGCTCTTGCGCAAGAGTATCCACATTCACCTTCTGCGTAAACGCGCGCTGTCAAATAACACACGACACCACAGCTCAATACTAGTGTGTGTGTGTGTGTGTGTGTGCGCGCGCGCGTCTGTGTGTTCCCTTCTGTCGTTTTGTATCTTTAGTCCAGCACAAACACAGTCAGACTCGTGCCCACGAAGCCTTTGGTGTTTTTATATCCCCCTCTTCTTTTGGTTTGCTGTCACCTCCCCACCCCACCCCACCGATTTAACCCTTCATGTCCCATCATGCTCCATGTGCACTCATCAACAGAACACCTACAAAATGTCTTCATCTGTCCTGTGTTGCTCTATCATGAATACAGTGGAACAGCTAAAAAGAACAATTTAGAAGCCATATATATATATATATATTAGTGTACTACTAATGCATTTTGAAATTAGACTTCTAACTTAAAACCTTAGAAGTATTCTACTCAACTCTACGTCATTTCTGCAAAATACTTGAGTGATTAAGCATGATTAATTTAATTTAAAACACTAATTAACAGTGATTAATGGGTTGTAGTTTGTAAAATCCTGTAGGCCTTGCTTTTGCTTGAGTGATTTTAGTGCTAATGAACTTATTGTAGATTCTAAGTTGAGAGGTGATGTAACATGAGGGTTTCTTTCCCTCCTCCAAATGTCACACTTCCAGGAATGTGAGGACGAAGGGGACGAGATGTGTCATGATTTGCATTTGTTTGTTCTTCATGGATCGTCTGAGAGCTCACATCAAAAAAAGTGCGACAAATGTTGCAGCTCTTGTCCTGAACTTGTGTATTGCGTGGTTCAAAGCGGTTCATGTTTTTTCAAAAAAACTTGAACTTTGAAAGATGTTTGTTTGGACTGTCTACCTTCTAATTAAGCATACAAATCTGCATCGATGAAAAGGTGGTATGCAGAGCTAAATAATAATTTTACACTTCACACCTCAGTAACATTTCAAAATGATCTCATTTAGTGCTGTTGATCAAGTAGAAAAAGGGAGAGGAATCTGGCAGGGCTCAGAATACCTTTGCAGTTAGAGTGGCACACAGACTTGCAAGTTTCAAAGGGCGGATGAGCCAATTCGTGGGGCCCTTTTGCTGATGGTCAGTGCTTAGACAGATGTTTTCTTGGAGCAGCACATTGCTGTGTTGGTAGCAAAGGTGATGGAAGGAGACTTGACATCTGTTCTCCAGACCGGCTAGACCCTCTGACACACAGGGTGGGGGTAAACTGATGAAGAGAGGCCCATCCTGTTGCGTGTGTGTTTGTGCTCTTCTGCTGAAATGTGTGTCCATCCTTGATTTTCCTATAAACAACAAGGATTTTTTCCCAAGTTGGGCTGTTAGAATTTCTGAATGTCAATAATCAAAGAATAAGTCATTCATCTCGGTTTACATACCTTGCAGAAGTGATAGCTCATGAGTCATCCTTTGCAAGGTTCAGATTTTTCAGTTGCTGACCCAGATCTTTTACAACTACACCACACCACCTCAAAGACAATAGTGAAGGCTGGATGCTGTAATTCTCAAAAAGCATTTCTTCACAACAGGGTCAGATATTAACCTGGGTTTGGGGTGAAAATGTCACTAAGAATAACAGACATTAAAATGTCTCCACAGTTTTAACCTGTTGCCTATATTTGATATATTTCAGAATATATCATTCTTCTAGGTCAATCTAGTTGTAGTTTTGTGCCTCTGCAGATATTGCAGTTACCTATAGCTGTCAGAATAGTTAGTGCTGATGAATGTGTAGCTAATATTTATTGGTATATATTTCCAAAAGTTTTTAAAATGTTGAGGTCAGTCAGTTTTTTCTTTTTGAAGAAATTAATACTTTTATTCAGCAAAGATGCATTCAGTTTATCACAAATGGCGGTAAAAACTTCCACAAAAATATTAAGCAGCACAACTGTTTTCAGCAGTTATAATAATAAGAAATGTTGTGCATCAAATCAGCATATTAGAATGATTTCTGAAGGGTCATGTGACACTGAAGACTGGAGTAATGGCTGCTGGAAATTCAGCTTTGCCATCAAAATAATAAATTACATTTTAAAATATATTAAAATAGAAATAATTTTTAAATTGCTATATTTAATCATATTTCACAAGTTTTCATTGGTAATGTGTATATATACATAAAATGAGAGACTGAATGTTTATAAAAAAAAAAAAAACCTTAATAAAAAAAGTTAATTTCTGACAGGCAGAGGAGCTTGCCATTATGGCTGTGTTGGACATCTCTTATAGTAACACAACCTTGGTTGATAAATGTTGCTTTCCATCTATTTGCAAATGTTTTCCAGTGCAACAACAATTACCCCCACTGTATCCCTGAAATCAAAAACATGCATTGTGCAATGAGTCTAGTCCTCTTCATCACTATGGTGTTGGTATTCTTAAAATAACAAACATTGTTTCAAACATGAGTGAAACAAGTGTAGACTAGACCCCATCTGTCTGCAGCATTTACTATCTGTCTTGATTCCTCCCAGCATTAATCAAGCGGTTACTCCACACCTGCGGAATGTGCATCTCTCTACTAATTGCTAGTTTAAGGTGAATATTGGCCCGTGTGCAACATAGTTGGCATGTTGAGCTCCAGTGCTCAGACAGCGATTTTGCGTCTCTTTCAAACGTAACAATTAAGTTTTGTCTTATTCAAAGCAGAGAGTTTGGTAAAACATGTGCAGACACTACTTGTTAGCACAAATAATTGTGTAGCATATGAAAGTCACAGAGGTAATTACTATATGTTTGGTGTTCACTGTAGTAAATAGAGTTTCTATGGAGACCATCTGAATGTGGAGGTGCATGTCATAATTAAGAATGGAAATTGTAAGTTCTGAGTCTGATTCCTCTTAATGAATCAGATTTTTCAATGGTTCAATTAACAAAGTACTTTTGAACTTTGGAATAGCATAACATAACATGAGACAGTAAGCTGTATGTGTTTAAATCACTAAAAAGAACTGGCTCAAAAGAGTCATTTGTTTGGTAATCAGTTGGGACTGTATTGGTTGTAATGTATGGTACTGATTCACTAAAAATATCTTAAGTCAATTTGAGAATCAGAGCTTTGATTCATTAAAAAGAAAAAAATTCTTCAGTAATGATCAGCCTACACCAGTTGTGCTGCATGTGGGTCCGGACCGGTGTTTTTTGAAAAGTGTAACTGTTTTTGAATTAGAAGTTATTCTTGGTTCCCAGTCCTAGTTAACCAGATGTTTTGATTTCTCATATTTTGAAATATGAGTGAAATAAAAATCTAAAATCATGCAAATGAATAGAAGTACTGCATCCGAAATATGCAAACAAATGACACAAAACTTTTTTAAACTTTCCAAGCAAACATTTATAAGTACAATCAGTCCATAAAAGCTTTTTACTGTTTTAAGATTAGAAGTAGTTTCCTGCACAAAAAATACTAATAAATGCCTATCAGCGTAAATTTGCAGGACTGGGATCTGCGAGATGCAATGCATGAATGTTTTAACGACTGTGAATGAGCTGCGCTGGGTCTGAAACGCCCAACCTTGTTCAATCTCTTTCAATCAATGTACTTGTGGACCACACAAACACATAATCCAGCACAAAATGGAGGTCTTTCATCAGTCTATCTTTGCAGCAGGATGAAAAAAATAGGGCCACTTCAAGGGATTTCTTATCCGCAGCTAGTTTTGATGTAGGTCAGTGTTAAGGGAGTTAATTGTTTGATATATTTAGAGCAGCTTTTGATATATGTTCTATAAACACAGCCGTCGCGGATCCTCCCTTTTTCCCACATTCCCCTGAGGAAAAAATAATTTTAAAAACTTCACAAAACTGTGAAATGGCAGTTAAAAAACAATTAAATATGATTTTACAATATATAAATACAAAAGTCCATGCCTCATAGCAGGACAAACCTGAAAAAGCAATAAACACTGCACTTTTTTTTTTTTTTTTTTAAAGAATTGTCCTGTGCGGAACAGCAAGACACTTTTTCTTCTAAAAATGACCAAGGTATTCACACCTTGGCAGTCCCTCAATGTGGACAAACCATCACACTCACGGTGCTGACGATGAGTGATTAGCTGTCCAGTTCAAAGTCTGTTTCATTATACAGCTCCTGCCGATGAGAAGGTCTGTGACAGGAGAACTTCACCCTGATGTGGTCTCCAAGTTCATCAAGGCTCTGGAGAACCTGGAAGGACATGGAGTGAAATGTGAGGCTAAGATATTCAGAGGTTGCTATTTTAATTTTTAATTTTTTTTAATTGGGAATATATCCGAGATGAGTTACTCCACTTTTGTGGCACATTCCAGTGCCATGTTTGAAGCATTAAACCTGCTTTGGATCATAAAAATAGTGCCATAAATCAAATAAATTGGTTTTAAAAGAAATTGAATAGGTGTTCAATCAGTTTCATGCATCACAACCATGTAGTCCAACTGATTCCCATTCTATCATGACTAATTATTTTTTTGAGCTGGTTCTTTTTAGTGAACCAATCACGTACAGCTTGCTATATCATATAATCATATATCATATATAAACTATATCAAAGACTTTTTTATATTGTGCATCCCTATTTAGAAATCTTTGGAAATATACTAGATTTTTAGCTTTTTAAAGAGTTTTAGATTTTTCTTCTTGCCTGAACACTCATTTTCATTTCACTAGACTTGTTTAACACTAACAGTTTAAGAAAAAACTAAAGAATACCATAACAGGTCTGTGAGATGTTGGGTGTTGTAATTTATTACCTTATCGAGCATTTCTCTGGTGTGGGCGGCAGACACACAGAAGCGAGCCCTGGCCTCTGTAATGGGTGTAGCCGGGAAACCTACAACTACAACACCAATCTTCCTCTTCAACATGGCCCGTGAGAACGCCCTGTGTGCAGACGATTAACAACTTTGTTATGGATTTTAAGCGAAGTTTACACACACACAAACGCCAGCAATGTACTACTGCCAAGCATTCAAATGTTCTAGAACAGCTTGCATCTTCAGGTTTTTTTTTGTTAGGTATGTTTAGCATTGATGTCATGATTGATGGCATAAAACAGGCAGAGGTTTTCACGCTAACCCTGAAAGCAGTACATGCCTTAATGCTTGTTTCCAAAAACTTTTTATGCATTCAAGTTTCCAGATGCTATCAGTGCTCTTAGTATGACAATCTTCATTACAAACTGAGACTGTGATTAGATATCACAAAGACACCGCCTAACTAGAACTTAAAGTAGAAACATTATGCAGGGTAAAGCTGTCGAGATTCCCATTCAGAGTTTGCTACCTTTCCTCACCCTTTGAGTGAAGGGAAATCCATTGTAAACCGCACAGCTGGGCTGTCATTTGCATTAGCCAAGTGGGAGAAAAATAAATGGATTGACAGGGAGAGAAAGGCAAAAGGAAAGGTATAATGGAGGAGGAAAAGATTGTGAGCGAGAGGAGGAGAGTAGGCCTCCACTTTGTCAGCAGAGACGACAGCAGCGAGAGAACAGAGCGGCGACGGAGAGTGAAAGCTGGATTTAAAAGGCCTCACAGCTGCCGTCGTCTTTGTTGGTGTGCCAGGAAGCTGTTATCTTTGGAGGAGGCTGAAACGCCTGTGCAGTGATGAGCCTCTCGCATGTCATGTTTTCTTTCTGCCTCTTGTTTTTTTCCGTCACCACTGATTCATGGATCAACTAGACCATCCAAGATGGCTACGGTCCAACGTCTTCTTGAAAAGACCACATCGCCTTCTTTGGACCAGTGGAGATGACTGCAGCTTTTGTTGGGGTGTCCTCAAGCAGTCAGTACATTTTCCACATGGCATTCAAGGCTATCACCTTTGTAACCCAATGTAGGCCTCGCATTGTTGTTTTATTGGCAGCCCGAAATATGGGCAGGTTCACAAGTTCAAAGGAGGATTACTGTAGTGTCCAGATAGTGGAAACTGTCCTTAATCACAAAGAAGACGCACAGATGCGAAAAAGGCTCACAAAGAAACATAATATTTTGCTTCTTGCTGGCCCAGCGATCTAAGCTGCGGGTTTTCAAATGGACTAAATAGGGTTTGTGTAAATGTGAGCCTGGAGATGCTGTAGTGTAAACTGATGCTCTTTTAAACATGTTGTGCAAACTGGACGCGGCCAGAATTGGCAGTCCGAATGGGTCGCTGGCTTGGGGAGCTGCTTACCCAACTTTCCCAGGTAGATAGAGCAGGAGCGGTATCACTGGAGAGTCCTGGTTGCCATAAATGATGAAGCCCATCTCCTTCAGCCGAGATCTGAAGTAGCGCATGTTCTCAGACAGCTGCCGAACTCTTCGCTGGCCTGCAGGGGAGATGCAGACAGAGGCGTCATCGGGGAGAATTTGTTAGCTTTCATTGTAAAAGGACAGACATAAATGTGAGTCTACAATAAAGTAAAGATCATGATTTACAACAGAGCAAGCACAGGTCAAAAGGAAAAGTGCAAATAATACTTTTCAGATTAAAATTAGAACAATTTACCTTTTTATGTCACTGAAATTTATGACCAGTCCTAATCAAAAAAATTTAGATGACTAAAGTAAGACTAGTTTAAGCAGTAACATATAGACTATTTACCAAAACAGTAAAATATCATCTTAAATTTATTTGTGCATAACCTAATTAATATTCATAAACTTTACCATTTTGTGACATCACAAGCAGCACATCTATGCACCTGCCTCCCAACTGTCCCCACAACCTGAAGGCAGTGACTGTGATGATTTTATCATTTATTCATGATATTTTGCATAAACATAAGCTGCTTGAATCTGATGGTAATTTGGTTATTCACTGAATTGTTGTCACAGTAATTCTACAGTAATTTGTAGCTCTCAAGACAAGTCTGCGCCCACTCTGCGGTAGCATGAACGCCAAACAGACCATGTCAGGCAAACCATAGAACAAATATGTCTACAAACTAGTCCTAAAAACAGCTGGCACAAGTTTAGCCCACTTCTTTCCAATTCTTTTGACTACACTCTTTGCCTGCAAGTTTCATAGTTGTTCTACTTAAATATGGTTGAAAACACTGGGAAAATGGCCAAGGAATTGCAACATAATGTAGTGGCATAAAGCCATACCACCAGCAGTTACTAACAATACCTTAACTTTCCTTTTCCTAGACATACTAGAATGTATACATTTCACCTTTTTTTCTGTAAGTATAATCAACAAGAGTTTATAAACAACTATTAGTTCCCTTTAGGATATAGGCTGATTGTATGTGAAAGACTAGGAAAGGGGCCCAAAAGAGGAGACGGGAAATGACATCATCTGCTCTGCCGTTCAAATCCCAGGATCGCTCTTTTAATAGCCCCTCATTAAGACCATTAAGTAGTTAAATGAGACAGAACAGACCCATTCATAAAATAATCCAAAAACATAGTAACAAACAAAAACAGGAAGAAAACAGCAAAACAATAAATTATTACAGACGTTATATGTTTTCATTACATTTTGAGGCTCATTTCTGTACTCTCTTCAAAACGCCTCATAATATATGTGTGTGTGTGTGTGTGTGTGTGTGTGTGTGTGTGGAGTCAGTCGATGTGAAAAACCGTACCAGCTGGTTTTGTTTTGTCAGGCTGAATGGTAGACAAATTTCATCCTTTGCCAAGACACTCTTGGCTTGTACATAGGATACAATGGATTTGGCACACAATTGGAGACTGGGGTAAACTGAGAATCATGGACTCAGATGCAAATGGTACCATGTGGTTAGCGGCAGCGTAGAGGTTACTGCTCTGGACCAATAATCTGAATTTTGGTGGTTCGAACCACAAAGAGATAATTCTAACAACTTAATGCGATTAGAGACACATCAGTAGCTCAATGAACATCAATACTTTTCACTCTCTGTCTTGTTCAGTTTATGTCTACCTCTCATTCCCTCCTCCATATTTAATTGTGTGAATCATGCAGTTCTGTGGGCTGGCCAGGTCCACCTCCAGCTCTCTTTGGCACCACGGCCTGAGTTTTTGGAAAACAACAGCATGTTTGCATATAATTACCTGTGAACCGATTGGCAGGTATTTCAAAAGGAGGTGGGCTGTAAAGCCAAGCACATAAGACCTCATGTCAGCAGAATGAAAACAAACACTCTTAACTTTCATTACATTAGAAACTCTTCAACTGAACACTGGCAAACTCTAGAAACAGCAGGTGAAGCTCAAACCAAACAATTAGTCATGGACGTGGTACAAGTTCAGATGTGGCAGGTCTTCAGTTGCCTATTGTGTTGTATTCAGAGAGGGATGGAGCATTGTAAAGCGAACTCTCAGATCAGTGTGACTCACCCTCCACAGAGCTGCACATCATGCTGGTAATGACACCCAGGGGCGGCTTGTCCAAGTCTGATATAGACATCACAGTGTTCAAACAGCCTAGAGAGATTCTCTTCGGACAAGTTTGGACTAGAACCCTTTGTCCCTTTGTTTATTTGAAACAGCTAGCTAGTTAATTAACTCTGCATTATATCCATGTCTCAATTTGAATTAAAAGGTTTGGCTTTGCTTTAACAGTCCTGCTTATAAATATATGCATGATTCCACAACTCTTTATTTTTTATGCATATTTACTTTTTATACGTAAAAATGTTTTTATTAGCCAGTTTAATTGCTCTTCTGTTGACTTACACTATACCGTTCAAAAGTATTCTTTTTTTTAAAGAAATTAATACTTTTATTCAACAAGGATGCATTGAATTCAGTGACAGTAAAGAATTGTATGTTACAAAAGATTTATATTTCAAATAAATGCTGTTCTTATGAACTTTCTCTTCATCAAAGCATCCTGAAAAAATTTATCTAAATTTCCACAAAAAAACAACTTTTCAACGCTGATAATAAGAAATGTTTATTGAGCAGCAATCAGCACATTAGAATGATTTCTGAAGGATCAAGTGACACTGAAGACTGGAGTAATAGCTGCTGTATTTTCTGTATTTTTGATCAAATAAGTTCAGCTTTGTTGCACATAAGCTTTCAAGACTGAAACTTAACTCTGCCCTTCAATGCAGACTGAATCCCTTCCTATCATGGTGTGAACTGCAGCGAAACTAAAATGAAACACGATGTATTCTCTAAAAACATAAATATATGGATTAATGCATATCAAAAACAGAAGACAGCTTGGAAAAACCCTTTTAACATCTGGTGCCATTCTGCTGACTCCTAATACCTGGAAATATGTGACCTTTCCTTGACTAAAAGACTCTTTAAGCCAGTCCTATTGCTTTATTAAAATCTGTTTTTCATGAGTTATACACTGTAGTGAAATTCATTTTATATGGTTATTAAATCCATGTGATTCTCTTCCCTATCTGATTCCCCACATTTAAGGAGAAGTGTTGGGTGGAGAATTTCAGTGTCTTTCGATATTAGAATGACTGACTGGTTTGAAATCTGGGTCTCAACGTCCTCTGACACATCAAGTGTAAAGTAGTGCATCTGTTGTCTTCAGTCATGTGACTTTCTAAAAAAAGTTGGCCATTCCCTTTCATGATTTTACATCTTAGTATTGCTTCTATGTCTATACAGTGCTTTGTTGCTTACCTTCGGTCGTGCCATCAACACCCATGATGCATTTAATTGCCCTGATGATCTGCTCCACGACAGGTGGGGACATGGCAGTAGCGTACACCGCACTGTGAGAGTGACTCCGCAAATAATCCACCAACTCCTGCAGAAAAACACAACACGTCCATCATTAAAGGAATAAAGATTTGCAGTGCTTTAGGTTCTGGGAGCTTTGTGGAAACAGCATAAGATAAGTCAGTTAAGAGAACGTGTCCGAATTATTCCATGTCCCAGTTTCCACAAAAATATTAAGCAGCACAATTGTTTTCATCATTGATGATAAATGTTTTCAAGCACCAATTCACCAAACATTTCTGAATGATCATGTGACACTAAAGAGTGGAGTAATGGCTGCTGAAAATTCAGATTTACCATCAAAGGAATAAATTAAAATGTATTCAAATAGAAAATAGTTATTTTAAATGGTAATAATATTTCAGAATATCACTGATTTGACTGTATTTTTGATCCAACAAATGTAGTCTTGGTAAGCTTAAGTAACTTTTTTCAAAAACATTAAAAAAATCATACAGACCCCAAACTTATAAAAGGTAGTATACATTATAGACAAGTACCATGTTTGGAAGCATCCTGTGAAAACCTGCAATTTTGATTTGTCCCATAAAAACAGTCTCACCTTATTAAATTCTCAATATTACACAACACATGCATGGGGTCTCTCTCTCTCTCTCTCTCTCTCTCTTTCTCTCTCTCTGTTCCCCACCTCTGTTCTCCAAAGCATGTGTAATTCAAAAAACCTGCAGTCTTTTTCATTTTCAGTCTTTTATAATCAACTGCCATGTCCGTGATGTGGTTATGAAGTGAAGTGGTCTTTTTTAATGGAGTAATGAGATGAGAAAGGCGGTGTGACAGGACCGTGAATGACATTTGGAGAACATATGTAGTTTCACATCATGAAACAAGACCATGTGTGTGAGTTTGAAAGAGAAGGGAAGGGAGAATGGTGTGCATGCTGATTAAAGGTGACGTAAGTCATTTCTGTACCACGAGCGTCACCAAACGACAAATAGCAGCTCAACGCTCCAAATTTATGTAAAACCTTGAGCTGCTTTTTGCCTCAGGAAATGCCTTTTTAAAAGAGCTCTGACAGTAAGGTATTACATAATGCCTACCTTTTTCCCCGCGATGTACCCGCCAGTAGCCCCGAAGCTCTTAGTGAAGGTGCCCATCAGAACGTCCACTTCATTGGGGTCCATCCCAAAATGTTCTGTAACTCCTCGACCTGTGGGCCCCACGATTCTTAAAATGCATTCAAAATTCGGAATAATTTGTAATATATAAGTATTCACGGTATTTAGAAGTGCCCACGATAACAATATCGTGCATATTCATTACCGTGATATATCGCATTACCGAATACAGGCACAAGTCTACTGGAGCCGTTTGGCGGCTCTCTTTGCGAACCTCCCACTGTGTACAGTGTCCTTATTGCTGCTGAGGGCATGTGTTTTACTCTATCTATCTATCTACAAACATTTGTATTTGCCCTAATAAAATAAATAATCAGTAAGTGGTCGATGTTTCTGATGTAAAAATCTGACTCCTGAAGCAAAAATAGCTGAAAACAATTGATTTATAAACTATTGTTCAAAAGTTTGGGGTCAGAACGATTTGTTTTTTAAAGAAATTAATACTTACAGGGACACATTAAATTGATCAAAAGTAACATTTATATAATAATGCCTACCTTTTTCCCCGCGATGTACCCGCCAGTAGCCCCGAAGCTCTTAGTGAAGGTGCCCATCAGAACGTCCACTTCATTGGGGTCCATCCCAAAATGTTCTGTAACTCCTCGACCTGTGGGCCCCACGGCCCCAATGCTGTGGGCCTCGTCGAGGAACAGATAAGCCTTGTACTTCTTCTTTAATGCTAAGATCTCCGGCAACCGGACTAGAGAGCCTTCCATACTGAAGGAAACAGTCAAAGACATTTCAGTTAGGATGTGTTAAAAATTAGAGTATGGACATAGCATGTCGACATGTAAACACAAGGCAAATATGTAAGTTTAATTATTTTTAATTATTAAAATAGTTTAAAAAATGTATTACTATTGTATATAATATTAAATATATCATAAAATAATATAATAAAATATTATATAATATACAATATAATACTAAAATAGACACACACATTAAAAATTGAATAGAATTCATTTTTAAATACATTTTAACCTTCATAATACATAAACTTTAATATTTTAAACTTAAAATGCAAACCAACAACTTTCATGTATTTTAATATTAAAGGTGCTGTAAGTGATTTGTTAAACATAAAACGTCTCATACTACTTGGCAGATATAATTGAAATAGCTGTCCTCTCTCACTGATGGCAATAGGCACTTTTATCTGCTACCTGTACAGTGGTTGCGAGTTAATCAATCATTCATAAACTTCTATAATCATGCATGAATTTCATATATAAAGTTCATGAACCTTCAGTGTTCACTTCAAAGCACAATGAGCTCCGATTTATGCAATAAATGACCTCAGAAAAAGGGTTATCGATGCTCACGAGGTTGGAAAGGGTCAGTCACACAACCATGACTGAAGACTTTGGCCTCAGTAAACTAACAGACAGGCAGTGTTCAAATGGGTGACATCACACATTAGAAAACCTCAAACAAACAAGACTGATAAAGAAGCGCAGATATTTTCGTTAACTTCCAAAATAGGTGCCACCAGTTATTAAATCCAATTGTTTTAGCTGTTCTCCAACAATAATAGTAATTGTTTAATTAATCAACTTTTTTTGCTTTGCTTTGTAAAGCAACCTGAGCTATACTTTTGTAGGAAAGGTCCTCTATGAATGTAAATGGTCCTCTTTCATTTGATGTAGCTGCTTACCCTAAGGCTGGAGTGAACAGAAATGTAAATATTCGCAAATGTTCTGACCTGTAAATGCCCTCCACCATGATGAGGATCTTCTTCCAGGCGCGATGGGTACGAGGTTGACCTGAGCAAATCGCCTCCTTCAGCAGCTTTTCTAGACTCTGCATGTCTGTAACCAAACACAAAACAGGCACATTACGACACAATCAGGTATTAAAATAAATACACACTGTCAGTTGGTATTTTACCCTAACCAAACAAAAGCCTACTTATTTTTAGGTCTTCCTAAAGCAAAGTGAGAAAGATACACTTATAAACACCAAGTAGCTGTTTTTTCTTTTGCCACTCGTGAGCACAAGAGGAAATTTGGTTCAATGAAAGCACCTTTAGGAATATATATGGCCGTAATATTACATCACTAACCTCCTTTACAAATTATGAACAACCCAACATGTTCATTCTAGATGCTTCTTCTGAATGTGGCCAACAAGTTTTGTTCTTGGATATACAGAACAGTGTTTCTTAACCCTCCTTCTGTAGAGACGCCCCAGCAAAGCACATCTCATCAGCTCAGTAGAGGCTGCATGAATTGAGAGACCAGAATTGAATGTGTCAAATTACTGAGACACTAGGAAAAGGAGGAACATGGTCGGCTAAAATAAACCCAAAATAAGTGACCAACCGAACTGAAATAATCCTAAATAGTTTTTGTGTTTCTACGAGTGTGAGGGTTTTATGGATCAAGGAGAATTTGCTTGAATTCAATGATGTGATTTATTACAGCATATATTTGCATAAAACAAACATTAACCAAGGCTAAATTGCATCTTACCGCAAAAAAAAAAAAAAAAGCATTTCCAATAATTGCATCCTAGGGGAAGGGCTGGAAAAGCCAGAAACATTCAAAGAAAGGGGAAATACATTGCAATGATAAATAGCAATGTTAAGTAAAAGTAAGTTCTGAAAGCACACTGGGATATCAACTACGCTATTATTAATCAGCCATATTTAATTGTGTAAGCCCACAATGTGTGACTGTATTCTGCAAATAAGCTCGAAAAAAAACACAACTAGCCTAAAGTCGCTTATAATAACCAGACATGGCAACGCTACAAACTGGCCAACAGATGGCAGAGTTGAACTGCAAAATTAAAGATTTTGAAAGCCAATGCAGGTTTGATTCTGGCCTGTTACATCCTGATCCCATTCCTCCTCTTTTACCCTATTAACTTACTGCCTTCTCTGCTGTCTCTATGAATAAAAAGTGACAAAAAGCCCAAAGAAAAGAATGTTCCATATAGTCTCTCATTAAAGTGGCCTCATTTCAAACAGGTGGACGTATTTAGGCCAGTGAAGGCCAATGTGGACACGGCCTGCTTTCACTAACCATGCAGTCTTGAAATACTACACTCACCTAAACAGATCCGCCAAAAGGTTTCAGGTCCAAGAACAATTATACAAAGAAGAATGGCAAGTAGACTGTGTGTGGACATACTTTAGATGTTTGTTTATGTGTGTTATGCCGTCACCAGTTTATTCAAGGTGACAATGACAGTATTGGCAGCCAGGTTATAGAGACTTTGAGACAAAATAATTATGTTTGTAATACAAAAAAATGTGCAAAAGCTTTCAAATGAAACTACAAAAATCCATTATTTTATTCGGTGTACTATATTTACAGCTGGCATCATTCCTCTGGGAAAATACAAGTCTTTCAGCAAGTCCTTACGTAACTGATAAACTAAAAAACTAAAACAAAGGCCTAAATATTCCCGATGTCAACAGCACGTTCAGGGCATTTAAACAAATTGAGTCTGTTTGCATTCAGATGTGTTTTTTGAATGAGCAATCATTCAGAGAAACAGATAAATAATGCTTAGACCTGTTTTTGGAATCTACCTTCGTGCACAATTTAAGCTCTTTTCCATTTTAAGACGGATAAAGGATTAAAATGGCACTGTTACTGTAACATGGTAGGTATTTGTCAACAAACGTGTTCTAACAACTAAAATGCGGATGATAGTTGTTGTTATGCAGTGCCAAAATTGATTTGCAGGTATCAACAGAGGAGAACATTTACCGTATTTTACACCCGTCTCTGCAAATGCTTGCAAAACAGGTTGGATTATCATGTAATGATGAACTTTGACCCAATTATGCTTTTTATTTGCTTCAAAGTAAATGTTTATCATTAAACTCAACATATCCACTAATGTTACGTCATGCACCCGCATCTTGACAAAATCAGAAGTGGGGATCTCAGCACGAGTTTCCAAGTTGAAAGTCCAACTTCAAGCGGCATTCTTTTGCATTTTCTGAGGAAGCTGAACACAGCATTAGTTCGCACCATAATTAAACATACCTGAACCAGCTAATAAAGTTTTTTTTTTGTTGTTGTTTAATTTGAAAAATGCAGCCAAGGGTGATGGAGTAGAGTTGCAAAACTCCTGTCACTTTTATCAAGACCATTTTCAGGTCAGAGAGTTGCACATGGAGTCTCCCGGGTTTGCCGTAAGGACTCACAACCAACTACTACATGGCACTGTCAGAGTACATTCAAGCTTTTGTTATTCATGCATCATGTATTCTCATCCAGCCTCTGGAGAAAGATGCAGACTAGTTTTCCAGTAGCTACACAAGAATACCATTAACCACTATGGATTCCCTAAAGCACAGCTTTTATAAA